TTCCTGGTGCTGGGGGTGGGGGGAGGTTCTGGCTGAGAGCAGGCACTGCCGTGGGGACATTTGCACTGCTAAGCATTGTCTTCAGGTACTGACATAACTTTGTTTGGATTTTGGAAAGAGATATGCTTATATGTGGCTGTGACTATGTGTTTTTTCATTTAAAATCAACTTCACAAATCAGAAGTAAAATTAAATACCCTGCAGCAGTTTATCAGTCAGAAAAATAGATGAACCAAGAAAAAGAGATGACCTCCATAACATTTCCATGGGAACAAGCAGCAAGGGTATTTTGGACAAATAAATTAGGTGAATTCCTGCATGAGACACTCCCAGGGAATGCCCTGTCCTTGCTCTTCCAGTATGTGCTAGATAGATTTCAGTTTAGTTGTCTCCTCTGATTTCAGGATAGCAAAAAAGCATAAGCAGCCTTGCTCTTGGGCTGTTTACAGCCTGTGTCAAAACCAGACCTTTAAATTCCAGCTGCAAGTCTCCCTGGGACCCAAGGCAAAAGCAGCACTGCAAGTTCTGGCGAAACACTGTTTGCCAGATGGATTTGGCACAAGTTTCAGCTTCTGGGTACATATATAATGCAGCAAGACATATATATACACATATATAATGCAGCAAGAACTCTGTGCAGAAGAAAACCCATGTTCTTTCAGACACAGAGAGATGAAAATTGCCCCAGACACAACTGCTACTAGAAGTAACTGTTGCCTGAATAGACTTTCCAAATATAAATTTCAATGCAAATTCTAGAACAAGTTTTATTTTTCAGCATAGTTCTAGAGATTTCTCTACCTAAAGACATCCCTCTGATTGATTTGGGCTGAACTGCTGCTTCAGGCACTTATGTTACTGTCTTTCTTGGATAACAGAGGAGAAAACAGAAGATGGAAAACCTCAGAACAAGTTGTATCAAAGTTCCTAGCCAATATCTGTATAATGAAGAGCTTCTTTGCCTTCCATAGAGCTGCTGAATAAGGAAAATGCAGTCCATATGATGCAATCCATTTGATTCATGCTTTGACTTGAACGGCTTGTCTGGGTTTGGCTTCACTTGGTAGAGATCTTGGTAACAAAAGGAGAGGTTTAATGACTACTTCATCAATTGAGAAGGAACACTTCTATTATCTTTCAGAACGCAGTAAATAGGTAACAGGTGAAGAAAATGTGCAGTGTGTTTGGAAACCTTTGACACAGGAGGCTGGGAGGACCTGGCTGTGATGCTGAACCAGACTTGATGCTGCCAACTGTGCAGCAATGCCATTTATGGTCACTTAGTCATGAAATCCCTTCAAGTTACGTTGCCTGCGGCTTCTGAAAAGGCAAACCTTTAACTACTGTGAGCCTCAGCTGCTGGATCTTCAGCGTTACTGGCTGGGTGCTAGGTTAGTGGATGAGCTGCCCCGCAGGATGTGAGGATTAGCATCTGCACACTGGCTTGAATGTGCTACAATTTATTTTATGGCATTTGTTATGCACGGCTTTTGTTTTAATGCACAATGCTGTCCTGTGTTTGGATAAGGCTATTATGTGCCAAAAAATTATAAATATTTAAAATCTCCTGATAAATTTCTAAAGCTACCCGGGTGCTATAGCCCATGGCCCAGTTATTCTTTTTCCAAGCCTTTGCCCTGACAACTCACAAGTTTTGACAGCTCCAGGGTAAAAACCGTCAGTGTGCTGCTGCTTTGACAGAAACCCTTGGAAAAGATGGAGGCATCCTGCTGGTTTTTCACCATACATTTCTACTGAGATCTGATGCATCTTCAAAGTCACTTGTGTGGGGTTAGTTGTAGCGTGGGGAAAAATAAAAGTCATTGCTCCTTGTGCAGCACCCCTGAAATCTTTAAAAGGTGACATTTCTGTTGCACAAATCCTCAGAGAGGTGATAACTAAAGCATGACCTGCCAGGGGCAGAGAAAAATCCTTCTACCTGCAAAGACTCAGCCTGAATGCTCAGCCATGGCCGATTCCTGCTCCAAGCAAAGTGTGCAGATGTTGGATTAACAGTTGAGGTTAATTCCAATTCTTGTCCTGTTACAATCAAAGCTAGCTGCTGCTGAACAATGCGTCAAGCAGAGAGCATGTACAGTGTTCCAAATGGCTGGGCTCTCTCATGTACAGCCCATGACTTGGAGGAATCCAAGAACATATCATCACATGAGACTGTGATAAGTTGATTACCCTGAAACAGACCTGACTTCATTAGTCACCCCATCATGCGCTGTTCACTGATGTCAGCGAGGGCCCATGCTGCCACTCCCCACACCCTTCTGCTTTTGCAAAACCAGGCTTCAACAGACTTTTCCTTAATGAAACAGCCAGTGTTAGAGTTGCCGTTTCCCTCTGCTGTTAGTATGCTCCAAAAAACTAATGGCAAGTGTTCACCGTGGAGCCCCATGGTACCACTCCAGGGTCCCTAAGGATATGATAAATGAGATTAAATTTACATTAAGGACTGTCAATGATCCCAAAAAGAGCAGCAACAGACCTGCAAAGGCCAGCCAACTTTTATTTACCTTTACAGTTTAAATTGTGCTCCTCATTTTTTTTGTCAGCAAAGCAACTCCCTGTGACTTCAGAGAACTTAATGCTATATTCTGGTTTGAGAGACATTCTGCAGTGACTTTTTGCTAAAAATAGAGCATGCCATAATGAATTGCCCTTACAGTTTATTCTATTTGTCAAGGCTGTATTTTCAAACACAAATATTCTGAGCAGTTCTATGATAAAACAGTGAGTATGTGGCAAAGGAAGCCCTCTGCTGCTGAATTAAACAGGGTCTTTAAATTTAGCCTTGTGGTGAATTACCATAGAGGAGGAATATTTTTAAAACAGTGAAAAAAAAAAATTGCTGTGTTTTTACAACTGCTTAAAGAGAACCAAGAAAGCAATGACTGTGTTCTTCCTTCCTTGTATCTGCATCTAGCAAGTAAAGAATGGAATGGAAAGATCCTTGTCATACAGGACAAATCAAAAGAAAAAAGTATCCACCCTGGAGCACAGTACTGAAATCTCCCTCCCTTTCTGCCTATATACATAGATCCACACAGGTATCTACTCATATAAATATGCACATAAGGTATTTCTGCAAGGCACACATTAGTTCATTTGTAATAATATACAGTACCAAGATGGTATTCCAGCAAGTACAGATTCATGGTTTAGCTTGTTTTTATTTCTCTGTCTCCTGATGAAACACAGGTTCACTTGTGTTAAACTGTCTTCCAACTTAATTTCAAAGGAAATACAGTTTTTCAGGTCAAATGTGGCCCCAAGAGGAATCTGATCACAGAGCCATACAGAGGGACTCTCTCATCAGTGGATGAGACCAGGCATTGATGCCCAGCCCTGCAGTTGCTGCCACAGCTGGATATCACATTTGTGGCCAGGAAGGTCTCAGACAGGGCACCTCTCCTGATCTCAGTCACCCGTGCAGGCGATGGGGTGCCATGCAGGCAGGGGCTGCCTCTCTTCGCTTCCCGTCAACCAGAAATCTTGATCAGACTGTAGCTGTGAGGATCATCTGTGACTGGGAAGAAAGGAACGAAACAAGATCTGTTCCTCGGAGCAGAAATTATTTTGCTTTTTTCATTCTCTTCCCATAAAGCAGTCTTTGTTTCCCAATAATCATGAAAGCAGTCAGGATGCAAAAAGGCTGAATTCTGATCAAAAGCCCTGTGATGTGCAGGGAGGGGCAGCTGTGACAAGGGCTACTGCAGACCACCAGTACCCCACCAACCTTGCATGGTCACAATAGCAACAGCCCTGACTGTGCCACTTGTTCTGAGTCTGATGGGGTGAGCTGGACTTGCATGTCTGTGCCGGAGCTTTGCTGAGAACCTTCACACCTGCTTTTGTGCCTCAGTGCTTCTGATGGGATGGATGGATGGATGGATGGATGGATGGATGGATGGATGGATGGATGATGGAAAGGTGGAAAACCACTCAAAGAAACCACTGTCCTTATGTGTGAAGAGCATGTCATTGCACAGTATAACATTGGGCTGAAAATTTTCTTTGCTGGGTCTATGGAAAAAATTACTTTTATTGAAAATTTTAACTAAATACGTTGGTTAAAAATAGAGGTCCTAATACAAATTCTGTCTTTTTCCTGTCTGATTCCTATTCACTGCCTTTGTTACAGAAAAAACAGTGTCTGAATCTTCAACTTCCAGCATGGCATGGGCACAAAATGATATTAAATCGTGTGCATTACTAGGTGTGGGAGTGAAAAGGAACGGAAATAAAAATATTATAAGCAATCAGCTAATCCGGATGTGGAATGGTTGCTAAGGAGTCCCAACCCAGGCCAAAGTCAATAAGCAATTAGTATCTATTAAAAGATTAAGTACTGGATGATGGGAGAGAAGTCCTTGAGAAAAGGCTCAGCTCCATGTTTCCAGGCCGCTTTCCCCTGGGCTGGACAAGCCGGTGCTGACAGCAGAGCTGCTCGCAGAGACACAACCTGCCCTGACTGCAGTATCTCTATGCCTTGTCACTGGTTTTGTGCTGTGAATTAAAACTCTCACTTAATGTCAGTTTTTATTTGAATAATAAAAGCTTCCTGCTGCTTGGCTTTGTAATTTGAGAAAAGGGCAGTGGCTGCTGTGCCACGAGATACACCTCAACATTTCAGTATACTAAATCTGATCTCTGATTTCTTTGATAGTTTTGAAACAGGAGGCAATGCTGATTAGGGAACAATAGAAGTTTAGACATAACTCTCACTTTACCTCACCTTCATATCTGCTTCTTTCTTAATTCATTGTTAACAAATGCACCTAATATAAATTGGCCTGGGGGAAGAATCTATTAGGTCACTGGAGAGAAAACTATGGTGTGATGGTTTAGTGGAGGGATTAGGAAAAAACCCTTGAAAAGAAAATCAATTGGACATCTGTATTCTAATTTTCTACCTGAGAATGACTATAGCAATTTAATTAAATAAGACTGTATTGATTGTGTTTTAATGGATTTGTTTTCTCTGATAGACACCTGCACCTTTCAGTGTGGCAGCCTTGATGTAAATAGGTAACACACTTTGCTTGAATCAGTGGAGCAGCTCCTGGCAGCAAAGCCAAGACCGTAAGTCCGTGCTGGATTGCACCCAAGGGGAGGGTGATCGGGTCGGCACAGGCTTTCCTCGGGATAGGGACACACAGGGACAGCTCACCGCAGCTTTCAGAGACCCAGGAAGTGTCATGAGATGTCTCGGCGACCTGCAAAAATTCAGTATGCAGCAAGGCAGCTGGAGTAGTTCTATTGACTCTGCTGTCATCAAATGAGTCAGCGGCAAGTCACAGTCTTGTATGTCAGCAGGGAGTGGCGCGCCAGGAAACCAGCCACAAAAGTGGGGGGGGGGAAAGCAAAGAACCCCCCGAGAATTCGAACCGTAATTGACTGCTTTTAGAAGTTTCTAGTACTTTCAAATGGCCGGTAAAATCCTGTGTGTCGGCACAGAGTTCGCTGTCCCTGTGCCACATCGCATCGCGTGTGAGCACCCTCAGCCGCTCCGGGCGCAGGCTGTGCAGAATCGAATCCCACCAAGCCCAGAGCCCCGGCTCTGCCCGCCACCCTGCACAGCTCTGCAGGCCCGGCGAGGGCTCACCCAGCCGTGGCTGCCTCCACCCGTGGCCGGTATACGGCTGGCAGCCTGATCTGTGTCGCCTGAGTGGGGCTGTGGTGCGGGTGGCTGGAGGGCAGCGCTCCTGTTCCTACTGCGGGTTTCATTTGTCTGTGGGGCGAGGGGTCTGCACCCCGGCCGGGAACCAGCTCCAGCCCAGCTGCACTCCTGCCCGTGCCCGGGGGCCGCGCCCCAGCCCCGCCCGGCACCTCGGCCAGGTGAGTGTCGGCCCAGCGCGGCCCCCGTTCATCAAGGGCTCTGCCACGCCAGGCTAGGCTAGGCTAGGCTAGGCTAGG